ATTTTTTAAAAATACAAGGCCTACGTCCTAGCCCAGACTTGCAGAACCAGACTCCTTGGGGCTGGAGTGTAAGAATCTTCATTACTGCAGAGTTCTGGAGCCTTTTGACATCTGCTTCATAAAAACTGAATGGAAAGGACAGGATCTGTCTAAATTGAGTAAAGGCTCTATTAAGTGTTGAATGCCTCCACCTTTAAGGGCACTATTATAATAAGGTATATTGCAAACAGTATAACCTCATCAAGAACATTTATTCAATCATTTCCATCTGTATTATGACAAACTAACCAAATGAGCCATCTTAAATATGTGCATTTTAATCACATCCCAATCAGACCTCATTACACTGTAAGTTTAAAAAGTACTTTGAAGGGCACCTCTCTCCACACTTGGTGGGAATCAGGCAATTATGATCAACTGAAAAAACATAAAAATAAAACTACGGTATGTTACCAAAAAAAATCCATTATGTATTTCTAGATGTGAGATGCGGAGTATACAAACACAGAAAAACTATAGGTCTCTTAATTATGAGGGACAAAAGGCACATGAATGTGTCCATTTTTACACATGCACACTAACAGCCACTGTGTACTGACTCTGTGGCCCTTATTATTGCCGTTGTGTAGCTGAGAAAACTGAGACAGAGAGAGGTTAGGTAACTAAACCAAACTTACAAAACTAGTAAATGACAAAAAGCCTAGAATTTAAGCCTAGGCTCTATCACTTGATGTACTGTATTGCTAGGACTGCCATAGTGATATACTACAGAGTGAGTGGCTTAAACAACAAATATTTACTTCCTCACGGTTCTAGAGGCCAGTCTAGAGGTGTCTGTAGGGTTGGTTTCTCCTGAAGTCTCTCTCCTTGGTCTGCAGATAGCTGACTTGTCCTCTGTCCGCACACGGCCCTTCCTCCGTGTGTATACGTACCTGGTGTCTCTTTTTCTTCTTATAAGGATAGCAGTCATAATGGATTAGAGCTCCACCCCTAAGGGCCCCATTTGAACTTAATCATCTCTTTAAAAATCTTATCTCCAAATATGGTTACATTTTGAGGTATTAGGAGCAGAGACTTCACCATATGAATTCTGGGGGACACTATTCAGCCATCACACTTATTGATGGTGTAACCTCAGGAAAGTTACTAGACTTTCCCAGGCCTCAGTTTCTTCAACTGGGAAACAAGTGCTATTGAGAATCAAATGAGATAATTCACGTAAAAATGCTTAGGAGAGCATCTGGCACACATCATCATCACTTTACAGATGACAAAAACAAAAATAAGTTAACAGTGACTTACTCTTTCTTCACCTCCAAAGCAGAGTTCTTATTATAGAATACTATCTTCCTATACAACTTAATGCACAATCTAGGAGAATTTAATGTCATTTATAATTTTTCCTCATCTTTTTTTTTTTTGAGACAGAGTCTCGCTCTGTCGCCCAGGCTGGAGTGCAGTGGTACAATCTCAGCTCACTGCAAGCTCCGCCTCCTGGGTTCACGCCATTCTCCTGCATCAGCCTCCTGAGTAGCTGGGACTACAGGTGTCCGTCGCCATGCCCGGCTAATTTTTGTATTTTTAGCAGGCGCCCATCGCCATGCCTGGCTAATTTTTGTATTTTTAGCAGAGATGGGGTTTCATCACATTAGCCAGGATGGTCTCGATCTCCTGACCTTGTGATCCGCCTGTCTCAGCCTCCCAAAGTGCTGGGATTACAGGCGTGAGCCACCACGCCTGGCTCTTCATCATCTCTTAATTCCCGCTTTCTCACAGTTCTTTTCCAACTTTATTACATACAAGGAAGAGAAAGAAAAGCTCAAAATAATGATCAATTCTATTAATAAAAATTTAGGCAGGTAGACATACTACTTTCTTGAAATTGTATGACAATTTCACTCATGCTTTCTCCTAACTTGCAAAGACAATTGGCTATACTCAAACTGTGATGACAACTCAGATCAATACCTGCTGTAACTATTAGGAAAGAAAGGCAACCCAATCCTTTTTATTAACAAATTATGATTGTACTTTACATCTGCCTAGTACTCTAAATACACTATACCTATTTAATCCTCAGCTCAGTCCTAGGATATTGTTTTATTTACCTCTCCTAACAATCAGAAAGTATTATTCTTATTTTATAGCTTAGAGAATAGGAGCACAACTAAGTTAAAAAAAATTTTTTTCTTAAAGGTCACAAAGCTTGTCAATAATTGGCAAAATTATTGACAGGATTCTCACTGACATCTTCTGGCCTGAAGCCAAAGTTCTCCACAGCAGGCCACCATCTACCCAGGTTAAGTTGCAACACCTGGTTTTCTCACTCTTCATCCCTGGCACAAATGCAGTAGGTGCTCAGCAAATATGGAGTCTGATTGGGGGCAATCTCAACCAAGCTGCAGAATCTGTTTTATGTCCTTCATATGAGGCCAAGTTTTTCTGACAACTTTGACCATCATCAACTCCTCAGAATGACAGCTCTTCAAAGGCAGCAACCAATTTCCTTCTTCTCCAGAGTCTAGCACACTGGGTGCTCATTTAAGTTCATTAAGTTCAGATATTTATGGAGAACTGAGAGTTCAAGTATATGTTTGTTGTATAATCAAACCACAGAACATTCTTCTTTTAGCGATGGCAACGAGTGCTTTTCAGCCACTACCATATAAAAAATTAACAAAAAGAAACATTTACAAAAAACCTCTATGGCCTACAACAAAGATTAGCCTTCAGGGCCTTTCCAATCCCCAAATTCTGCAATTCCATTATAGTCTACACCTGATTAGTTAAACCGACCACCTTGAGTACCCAATTCTGAGTACAATGCAACTGGGCTTGTCCGTGTAAACCCAACACAGTGTTCTTAGTCTTGCGGTGTGCTTCCAGGTAAGCAAGTTTATCTGACGGGCAAGTTCCCAGTTCCCAGAGGGAATGGCGATGGATAATAAAGTTGACCTGAGCCACAGTGGACTTGCTCTTATCAAGACGCTGTGTTGTAAAAATGAGCTATACTAAGATAAATCATGCTGACTTTTATTTTCCTCAAGAATACACTGCTGGCTGCTTGGATTGATTGATTGATTGATTGATTGATTGATTGATTGATTTAAACTTCAAATTTGTGTTGCTGTGAACAGCTGAGCAAGTTTTTACCCTGTCATGGAAACTATCTGGCCATTTTTGCACTGTTCTGTATGCTGGGAAGGGAGATGAGTAGAGCTTGCCAGAAAAGAGTTCTAAGCTCGGTTACTATGCTCTCCTGTAACTTCAGGGACTTGTGAATGTTCAGTTTGTTCCTATTTGTTGCTTTTGTATAGCATGTTGTGACCTGGCTACAACCTTCCTGGCTACCTATGTCACAGGGCTGTTATAGGAAATTCACAAAAAGTTTTGTGGGCCTGTTAAAAAGAGCATTCAGCAAAGAATTGAGGATGTAAAGTTAAGTATCACCAGCATTACATTTCCTGTCTGAATTAATCTTTTCAAAGAACTCTGAGATCTGAGGTTGGCAAATTCACTAAAAAGGCAAAGAATTACTTTAGGTTATTTTTACAAATTCAGGCATCCTAAAAATACTCTTTTTTGATGCCTTGATCAAGAGAGAAGACATTTCAGAGAGAAGAGGCATAGAAATCCATCTGTAGTTCTACAAGTAGCCCAATTTCAGTATCAATTTATCCACTCACTATAATAAATATTAAATACATACAATATACAAAGTATTAAGCTAGATACTCTAAGGATGAAGAATTATGTAAAGAATGTTCCTATATTCTCCTGTATTACAAGTACACTGTAAGATGTAACTTTTGTTTAGATTTCCTTCCCAAATAAGTAAGCAAAATTTTCTAGTTTCCCTGGGACAAAGAAGGTGAAAGAACAAAATAATTTTTTCATCTATTATGACTTTCTGGATTCATAGAAACATTTATTTTAGAACATTCTGGAAGACTTATCTATTAGTTTCTACTGATGAGTAGCAAGCAAGAGTGACTGAGCTACAGAATGGCTGTGACTTCCAAAGATAACCTGATTAAATCTGACATGCATGTGACATGGGGGGAGCAAGGAATCCATGTGTCCTTCAATTTCAATAAGAAGAGTTAAAAATGTATTATCAAAGGAAGAAGATCACAATCGTGTGGTTTAGAAAGCAGACCAAAAATGACAGGACAGAAATATTCCAAATAACTTGGAATCCAAGTCATTTGGGTTTCCTTGAATGCCCTGCCATATTAAATCACATATGGCTCTGTAATGAAAGGAAAAGTTAAGGCCTGTCTCATGCACCATTTCTGCCACTGACTGAGCTTGAGAAAGAAAATTCAATCTTTTAAAGTTATTCAATGAAAGGCAGAAATAATGAAATAAGCTTATTAATGTGGGGTAGAAGACGTCTTGAGCAATCAGCCAGTGTCCTTATCCAATTAAGTTGAAACAGGAAGCCCCAAATTTCCTTAAAGTTTTGCTGGTATTAGTTTGCTAGACTGACTGTTCCAATATATAAATTCTTTGTGTGTGTTTACTTTTCCCCCTAGAGTTATGGCTAACCTGAATAGAACCAACTTCCTAAGATCTGCTTCTTTCACTTTTAATATCCTATTTTTCCAAAGCCACCGAGCTGATATCCTTCAACAAATGGATTAAAGTGAATGCTGAGAACCAGCTCTCATGTCTGAGCATGGGGAAATAAAGGGTTTATACCCAAGGCAACTAGGGGCATACTCACAATGGTCAATGTCACATTAAGGAAATCTGTAGTACATCAAATGAAATTCTGAAGTTATGATTCTGTTCAAGCTGAACCATCTTTTGGGACAGCCTATTGCAAACAAGATTGCTGTATTTGGAATTCTGACACCAAGAACGCCTAGGCAACCTCTTCACAGAAATGGAAAATAAGACTCAGCCAGCTCCATGTCCCGTGGTGTAACCTCACATGCAGCACACGAACGGTTCTTAGTTATTATTATTTTTAAATGAAAAGTAGATCGACTTACATGGCTCTCTGGCAATGAACTGAGGTACAGTGTTGGGCAGAGGAGTACTGGGGTTTGGAGTCCCTACGAGTTTGTTCTTGGCCATCTTCGTGTTTGCCTTAGCAAACTCTAGTCGTAGTGTTTGCGGAATTTCAGGATCGAAGCGGATGCCCTTTGGAAATAGAGAACAAATGGAAGATGTTTTCATTTCCTTAGAGTCAAACCGGAATGGTGACAAAATAAACACACCAGTAAACCCTGGTCTATCAGGAAAAAAGGTCAGCAACCACTGTCATTCTTACTACTTACACAGGTTACAGGAAAAATGACAACACAAAGTGTCCTGAAAGTCAGTGGTATTTAATTTACTTAAAAAATGTAGTTACACAGATTTTCAACTATTCCTTTTCTTTTTAGACAAAAACTTTCCAGTTTAAAATTTGAACCAGGAAATTCCTAGCACAGTTATACACTTTAATGTATAGTAATTTCAGTTACCTTTGACCCTATTCCTGCAGTTTACCTAAAACAGATTATATTCAGTAAAATAAATCACAGACACTATGAAAGACAAGTTAGGGCAAGACAAGTCTATTTGGAATCCTTCCACCATTCAAGAATGCCTTCATTATTAAGCATCCAATACCATGAATTCTGGACCCTACATGTCAAAAAGCTATCCCAAGAGAGTGCATTTTAAATATGCACCCATGGGACCCACTCAGTTCCCATGTTTTCATGGTGTGGTCTGGAAAGGGACTGGAGTCCTGAAAATGAGTCTCCAAAGACCACAGTTGCCATTTAGCGTTCTGAATGTATACACATGGGCCTGAGGGCTCCAAAACATCCCCCGTCCCCTCGCCACCGTTCTTCCTAATGAGCTTGAAGAAAAATAAGAGCAGGCAGGGTGCTGTGGCTCATGCCCTAGCTCATTCCCGTCATCCTAGCACTTTGGGAGGCCAAGGCGAGTGGATTGCCTTAGTTCGGGAGTTCAACACCAGCCTGGGCAACATGGTGAAACCCTGTCTCTACTAAAATATAAAAAAAAAATTAGCTGGGCATGGCGGCATGTGCCTGTAATCCCAGTTACTTGGAATGCTGAGACAGAATGGCTTGAGCCCGTGAGGCAGAGGTTGCAGTAAACCAAGATCGCGCCATTGCACGCCAGCCTGGGTGACAGAGCTAGACTCTGTCTCAAAAAAAAAGAAAGAAAAAGAAATATCCACAAAAATAAGACTCTCTTACTTTAGAGACCAGGATGAACAACTCAGAACTTCAAACTTCACAGGCTCAGCTTCAAGGATACAAGGAAGAGCCTGTGGCTGGATAGTAATGGCATTAACAGGAAATAAGGGGGGAAGGGGAAGGAAAGAGAGGTCCTTAGGGAGGCCTAACAAAAGCCACAGAGCCCTGACCCAGAAGTCTTGGAGTGGGTGGAATTTCTTCCCGAGCATGACTCACTCATTCTGAGAAGAAACCAATTGAGGGCAGTAGCAAAAGGGATGTGGAGAATACCCTTGTGCATACCCTAATCAACACCGAAAAGTGAACAGATAGTGCCCGTTCTGGGAAACATAAGAACATTTTCTTTAACTGGTGTTGTGTTGTTTTGTTGCTTTTTAAATTTGGGAAACCTCAATACTATTTTGCCCAAAAAGTACCTAAGGAAAAACAAAAACAAAAAGCAAAGCTGCATTGTGAAGCAGGCTGAGGTGAGGTCACAAAGGACCTCACTGAGGTGGACCAACTTCAACCCTAACAAAGCTAATACTACTACAGAATAAATATTTCCAAGAATGGAGGTAAGAACTGTGGTCTCTGCTGGGAGACAAGCACAGTCCCTGGGTTTCAAGTACAGGTATGCTGTGGAAGGACTTGCTCAATCGCATCACACTCCATCAGACACACATAGTAGCAACTTGCCATCAACTTCAGGACGTCCTCCCTGGCACTAAACCTGACCAACCTTCCTGTGAAGAAGCAACTTTCCTAAACCTGAGCTCACATTAAGATGAATCCTGTGGCCCAGACCACTGGGGATAACATGAAGAGTATCCTGGGACCTGGTCGTAGTCTAGAGCATCTGGCCTCAGAAAATGAGGCTGTACATGTGAATTCTATGCCTCGGTTCTTTCTCTGGTGGTTCCAGAATCAACTGAAGCTCCACATAATGTGTTTGCCTCTTACACAACCTGGGCTGGTGGCTTGAGTCCTAAAACATGCTGAACTAAGTCTCCCCTACTCCCTGCCCCCTTCTTCTTACCCCCTCCATTTGAACTAAAATAACATCAACATCATGTTCCAAATCAAAGTTCCAGCATCCTTATTTAAAAAAAAAAAGCTCAGAAGTTAAAATGACCTAATTTGTTTGGCAGCTTATTCAGAGGCCGGAGGCTTAGAATACAAGCCACATTCCTCTAACATCTTTAGCAGCAATACCATATTTGGTAATCAATATCCTGCTCAGCTAAGTTTCCATCCATAGGGATTAGCCAAGCCAAAAACATTTTAAATGTTAAGGGATGATGAAGAGGAGAAAAAAGAGGGGCAGGAGAAGGGAGAACACAGAAATGAAGAGGGAAAAAAGAAAAAGAGAAAGACGAAAAAGAGGCAGGAGGAAGAATACATGAGAAAAAAATTCCTTGTGTTTTTAATTAAAGCCTACTAAGATTCTTCTCTGGTTACAATTACTTCACATTAAATGCTGTCAGGATAAGATTACTGCCAAGTGAAAGGGTGAACCTGTGTCTTTCAAAAGCAACCTTTTCCTCTCTTGCTCATAATTCACCGTTCTTCTCACAATAAACAGAGAACCTTTCTCTTCCAAATGTAAATGGTGTCCTATTTATTATTACATGGACCAGAAAGGATAGTTTCTGAATATTAGTATATTAATTTGAATATAAACAGTTACTTACAAGCACCCCAATCTGACTGGCTCCAGGACAGTCAATAGTCTCAACCAATCCAGGTTCCATATAATCTACAGAGCCTGAACTCCCTACTCAGAGCAAATTCTGGGAGATAAAAGGACACTGCTGAGAAACAACATTTTCTTGCTTGTCCAGTGTACTTAAAAGTATATCAGGGCAGTCTCATGCCAGGGAGCCAGGGAAGGCACCCAAGGAAGTGATGGAAGAGTAGAAGTTCACCAGGTGCAGCTCAGGAAAGGGCTCAGCAAATTTCTCTGTAACAGGATGCAGAAAGGGTGTTGGGATGGGAAAGGTTGGGAGTGGGGTGGCTGAACAAGCAGACTGGGGCGAGATCACAAAGGACCTCTTAGGCCATGAGTGAGGACTTTGGAGTGTGTGCGCAGCTGAGCCATTAGGTTTTAAAAATGAGGGGGATAATATCAGCTTTATGTAGTAGGTCTGTGACCCTCAAATATTAGCAGCAACAACTTGGAGGACTTGCTCGAGTTTCTGGTTCAGTAGCTCTGAGATGGAATCTGAAAATTTGCATTTGTAACAAGTTCAGGGTAATGCTGATGCTGTTTGTATGGGCACCACATTTGAGAATCACAGTGGTTGCTGGTAACTCTAGGGGTGGTAGGAAAGATAGACTCAATGAAGAGACTAGAACAGATCAGACATGAAATCATTAGAGCAGCCCTGGGAAGAGTAGCTGGGATGAGATGGCTACTGCCTTCTAAGTCTTCTTCTTTGGGAAGGGTACTCAGGGGCCAGTGTCTGTGTTCTGCGCCCTTATTCCCCTGACCACAAACCTGTTTTCTCTTATAAAGATTTCAACCTTGAGCCTATATAGAGACACAGAAAATGATGTTGACCAAAGCTGAGTCACCGTAACAGCCTCTCACTAGAACAAAAGTCTCCAAATTCCTGTCACTGAGGTCTTCAGAGCACCCTCATGCCTGACAGAGTGTTGGCTATCTGGTACAATAAACAGAGTACTTCAATTCTGTTAGCTTCAGGCTCCCGGTGTTGTTACAAATGGTTCTACACTAAAGTTAGTCCATCAGTCCTTGACAACGAGTTTCAGGGACAATGGAATGACTCATTTAGGGAAAAAAAAAATCGTTACAAACAAAGCAGAGCTATATATACATATTGAGAAAGATGTCCATGGCTAGATTAGGCTGGGAAAAAAAAAAAAAAAAAAGATACTCAACAATGTTTAGTAGTATGGAGGTGGAGGAGTCTGTGTATACACGCGCATGTATACTTCTCCATCTGTGTAAGTCCAGAAAGGTTTAGAATGAGACAACCAGCCGGTTAACAGCAGTCCACTTGGTGGCAGGGGTGAGAGAGGGCACAGACTTTTGTACAATTTTCCATCATGTGAAATTTTTACAAATATGTATAATTTATAAAATCCAATACAGAGTTTAAAAACAAAAGGAGAAAGGTGCAATAAGGGATTTCCTACTGGGACACAGCATTCAACCAGCTATGTTTTTAAAACTAGTTACTTTTTAAAAAAAAACTTTATTCTGAAATAATTGTAGACTTACAGAAAAATTGCAGACATAGTATAATTCCTACATACCCTTTACCCAGATTGCTTAGATGTTAGCATTTCACATTTATCAAACACACATACCATGTTTCCCCTGAACTGATTAAAAGTAAGTAGCAAGCATGATATCCTTTTACCCTTTACTTCAGTCTGATTTCCTAAAAACAAGAACATCCCTTTGTTTCCCTGATCCAAGATCTAATCCAGAATCACACACAGCACTTAGTTGTCATCACTTTAGTCTCCTGGAAGAGCTCTTCAGTCCTTACCTTTCATGAGCTTGATATTTTTGAAAACTACAAGCTACTTATTTTGTAGAGTGGCCCTCGATTTGGGTTTATCTAATTTTTTTTTTTTTTTTTTTTTTGGTTTAGATTCAGGTTACGCATTTTTTGGCAGAAGATCACAGATGTGTGTCCTGCACAGTGCATAATATCAAGAGGCACATGATGTCACTTCTGTCCCATTACAAGTGATATTAGCTTTGATCATTTGCCAAGTTTCTCTATTGTAAAGATGCTATGTTTTCCCCTTTTAACTAGTTTCTTATAGACAGGTATTTCCAGCCTATATAAATACGTTGTTTGTCAAAAAATCTACTAATTTTAACATCTATTAATAATTATTACCTGAAGCATTTGTTACTATTGTAGTTGCCAGATGGTGCTTTAGTAATCTCATTGCTCCTCCCCACTG